GTGTTGTACATGTAGTGGGGTTGATGTATGTAATGGTGATAAATATAGTATTTTTTTTATAATTTTAAAATTGTATTAGGAATAGACTTAAAGTATGATAGATACATAAAAATATTGTATAATATTTAAATCTATAAATGAATTTAAAAAGGATAATATTGGATTGTGATGTGGATGAAAGTAGTATTTAATAAAAATTATAATTTTAATAAGGATAGATATAGTGTGTGGCAGAACAATATTGAATGTAAATAGCAGTTCATCTTAAGAAATAAGTTGTTCATAATAAATTTATACAATTTTCTTCTAGTTGTGAGTCCGAAACATATCATATTCGAAAAGACATTATGCTCAACTTGTGATCAGAGGAAGTACGATTAAATCGAACGAAATGTATGTTTTTTTTTTTTTTTTAAAGGTTTTAACATTGCTCTCACCGTCTTAGGAACAAGTTTGTTAATGTTTATTCTTTATTAATATACCCTACCACATTGAGAGTTATGATGGAGAATGTATAGTTAAAATAAGGAAAAAATTTTGAATTTGCGTATAATATTATTTTATTGAAAAATGTGAGGTTGTAATATGTTCAAACCACTGTTCAAAAAATACATTTTGATGAAAAAATAGGGCTCTAAAACCACGAGTAGTAAATTAATTCTTAAAATAACAAAAAATGGCATGTGGAATTATGGCATTAAATATTTACATCTACGTATACATTATATAAAAAGTTTAAATGTTGGAGAAACATTTTGTCAACAATGCCTTCAACTTTTTAGTGAAAACATTATTCACATTAATTATAAAAAACCCTCGTATATTGAAAGTCACATTACAAGGAGAAGTACAATACGAGTAATGTTGCTAATCATCATCAGGGGCGGAGTCAAGGATTTTGTCTAGTGCAGGCACAATAAGTATCGGTTACGGTGATTTTTTTATTTTATTTTTATCAAAATTAGTATATGAACGAAAATAGCTTCAGGTGATCAACGCAGAGTCCTGGAGAGAAATAGTTCAAGCTGGAGGTCCTGTGTCAAGCCCAAAGTCCAAGCCTACATTGGCCTCTATATAGCCCCCCCTCCCCTTTGGTCATCATATGATATGAAATTAAATGATATTGTTTCGCGCGTTTACTCGCTAACAATTAAAAGGAATCAGATGATTGTATAAGGAACAAACCTCTTGGAATAAAGTCCCAA